CTATTAATACTCCTTAGTATTTTATCTTTTTCAAAACTGCGGTTTAAGTAGTTACATAGTCTTTTTACAGGATTCATTGGGTCATACGTACAGAAAAGTAAAATGATGGTACTATTTGTATACATATTTGACTCTTATTTATGAAATTCTATCCAAGTATTGAGCATATGGAAAAATTCAAAATTAGATTATTATTGCAAATTGCAGTACAGTACTGTACTTAAAGTATACATGCTTTTGTAATTGCAGTATCCTTTTGATCAAAATATTTAAAGAATTAAGCTTGAACCTCTGTTTTGTTGCTGGTTCCTATGAGTAGTGTGGCTACTGGTGTGTGTGTGTGTGTTCTTAGAGGACTGTTTTGTTGCTGTTCGATATCTGTTTTTTTCAATGTGGATTTTCTTGTGATTTGTTGTTGGTAACTTCGGGGGTATGCCATTAAACTATAACTTTTGCCTATTTATAGTATTTATCTTTTATCCAAAAAAAATTATTGACTAGGTTTGATAATGTTGCTGATAAGGTTTGTTTAATAGGGTGCTTTTATGACATTCTAACGCTTGGATTTGTTTAATAGGGTGTTTTTCTAACATTCCATCGCTTGGATTTTATTGTATTTTATTGTTCGCTCTTTCCTCTTGATGCGTAAAGAATATGGTTTATTGTCATTTATTAAAATGTCATGTTATTTTACTCAGGAGCCTGTGGAAATTAGTGTTGAAGTGGAGAAGAGCAACATTAAAACAGATGAAGAAAAAATACAAGATGTTTGGGAAAGAACCATAGATTATACAAGAGAACAAACTATATCACCAAAAGCATATGGGGAATGTTCCCAGACGACCATCAGCAAGAAGCGATTTAGGGCATGATTGCAAAGACAATGTACAAGAAAAGTAAAGAATATTTTGCTAAAGCTTATGAACATTTGTCTAAAAATATGTATTGTTATTTTTATTAGTTATCAACATTGGTTTACTGAAAATTATTTGTAAGCATTGCAAAATGTGCTGATATTGGTTCAATGAGTTTACATGAAATAAGTTCAGTTTATGATCAAGTGAACGGGTGCAAAAGTGTGCTATAGCAGTTGATGATTCATGTTAATGATGTGATAATAGTATAAATAGGGTCATATTGCAATTTTTTTCCGAAAATCTCTACATCGGTTGATAAAATAACCGATGTGAAAGCTTTTCTACATGGACTATAACCGATGTGAAAAACCGTATGCTCCGGAAAAAATTGAAGCTTTTCTACATGGGTTGTTTTAGACCCGATGTAAAATCTTTCACATTGGTTATAACCGATGTGGAATACCATTTAAAACGTCGTTCTGGACAATCTTCTAGATCGGGTACTGCACGACCGATGTGGAAAGATTTTTCACATCGGTTCTTTGACCGATGTGAAAAGTCTCTACTTTTCACATGGGCTGAAACCACATCGGTTGTTTGACCGATGTGAAAAGCCTTTTTTGACCGATGTGAAAAGCCTTTTTGGTACTAGTGTTTATCTCCTCCGAAGCATGATCGATCAAAAATTCAAAATTATAGATAGGTAATTTTGATATTTAATAATACGAACTGTTTTTCTTTTTCATTTAAGTATAGTAGATTCACAAATTTTACTTTTGATTCATTTGTACAAAAAATTCTCAAATTCCAAATCCTCATGAGACCCGAAACTAACAAAAGGTAAATGTATTAATTTTCATGGAAATTTAACTTCATATATTTTCGTATTCACATCGATATTTGCTAAGTACATACTTCTATTACAACACATTTGTTAATTTTGAGTGTGTAAACATATACAGAATTATATGAAAAATCCATATTAACCCACAAATAGTTACAATACTTTTGATAGTTTATTAATATAGTATGAAAATATAATTCTATCCAGATATTGAAACAATTTCCTTCTATCCATATTGTTATTGGCATCCCAATTGCCTAACGAATTTTCTGCTTAAACGGCCACACTCTTTTAATACTTTGTGACTAAAATTAAGTTTCGAATTTCTTTTTTAAAAATGAAGGTGTTTTAAATTTATTTGAAAACTTTCAATATTTTTAAAGATAATTTTCAACCAAGTAAACAACATCCTTTGTGATTTAATATTTAAAATGAAGACCTATATTCACTTCGCAAATTAGATCCTTGAAACTGTGCGAAGACATAGATTTGAAAAAACAAAGCTTTACATGAAAATCTTGATGAGTTTAAGAAAATTTGAAAGGATAATTTACTTTCTCAAAGAAACCTCAATTGTTGCAAGATGCGTTGTTCTTTTAATTTGAGTTTTTCAATTTAGATGCATCTAATACTCTTAGCCAAGTGTTAATTTCTGAAACATTAAAAAGTAATTTTCAATATAGGGGAAAAATTATTGATAGCAAGTTGTATCCAACATTTCAATATCTTTAGAGTAAAATTTGAATGTGTAAATAAAGAGTATAAATTACGTTTTCTAAACATGCTCCCTCAATTTCATTTTGAACACATAACCACAACTAAAATGAATCTCAGTTTCGTACTTTGGGATTAGTGACGACTATACATATTTTTACAATACCCTTAACTAATTGCTTTTTCCTCCTTCGGAGTTGAAATAATTTCTCCAATTTTTGCAGTAAGTCATGGAATTGTTTTGTCACATAAACACAAATACAAAGCTCAACACATAGTTAATGTCAAAGCAGCATATATAAAACAAAAAATACATGCGGACTTTCGAAATGACCCATTTAAGTTCCTCATTCAAGCATAAATTCGAAGCCGAATAAATCAATCATCGCTTGGTCGGTGAAGACGAACCTTTACCTCTTTTTGCTCTCCTAAAACCCCTTAGCTTAGCTTACCAAACCCTCGAACGCCCTTGCTAATGCATCCGCCACAAAAACACAACAACGCCATTTCACATGTTCGGCGATCCAACAACTACCATTTTTATATGAGCCAGCGATTTACTACGTATTAAGAAATATACTCTACCCTGACTATTATGTACTGGAGATGAAACTTATATAGGCAAGCCAATAGGTGGAATGTAAAGAGCCTTACCACTTGCAAATAATTACTCCGTATTCACGATTGTAGAAAACCACATATTGGGAAACTGAACAGTCAATTCAAGCAAATAATTAAAGGTTGATTCTATGGTATTCCAAATATACCAATAAGAATGATGCAGTTGAATTATTTAAAGGAAAAATTGATTGTAATAATCTCAATTATGGGCGGTCCGCTTATAATAATCCCAACTATCGATTATTTTAGAATAATCCTAACTTTAGGGACCTTCCGCCAATAATGGTCCCTATAAATAAATTCCTGTAGTTTTTAAAGTGGATGAGGAAGATATAACAAGTAATCCCTATAAATAATCTCAACTTTTAATTTTTATACTTAATTTCTATTTAAATTCAATTTTTATAGGAGGTAATATCTGGTCATGGACCATTATTGGCGGATGGTCCATATAGTTGGGATTATACAAAAATAATCAATAGTTGGGATTATTATCAGCGGACCGATAATAGTTGGGATTATTATTTTCAATTTTTCCTTATTTAAATCTAAATTAAAAAACTTATAATAATTTGGACCAATCAAATGCATGGTAGGTACAGTACCCCATTTTTTAAATGGGTACTGAAGTTGTATATTAAATAGGCACAAAGCCGCTCAATTTGCAGCGTAAACAATCGGCCGAGTATTCCATTTTTAAATACGGAGTATAAAATAAAATACGGAGTATATAATATAATATAACAATATAGATATATAGATATAATATAACGCTTGAACACTCCTTTATTACTTTATCTCTGCAGCCCAATGCTTTTCCGATCCATCTTTCAATATTCTTTACTTCGGTAATGCCAGTTCCAATGGCATTAATGATTGTTTTTACATTATCTATCTATATTAATGAGTTTTGTTAAGTTTCTTCATATTCGACATATCAGGCTTTGCGTAAATGCTTCCTCTCACGTGCCAATCACACTTTTCCCGCCCAAACTTCTCTTAGACTATTTTGTTTTTATATATATATAGATCAGAAGATCTTTTCACTCATTCAGATGCACGGTTACTATATCATTAGCATAAGGTTAAGGATATTAATAAATTGATACTGATAGACAAAATTATCAACAATGGTGGATTATTGACAATTTTTAAATCAGCAGCCAAAACCATAATGACCTCCAATGTGATGATTAGAAACAATCCTCATTCAAGCTCAATTCTGTATTGCACCGTCAAGAGTTGCATATCATAAAAATTTTAAATTGTTGATTTGTGATGAAGATGGCAAAAAAATAGACTACGCTATCAATGTTGATTACAAATAACTCTTTTAAATGTGCACGCTACTACAAGCATGATATAGCTAGGGGAATCATCTAGGTCTCAACACAGCCCAAATTTAAAATGAAATAAATATTAGTGTAAAATATTTTGTGCTATATTATGATACTTTTTAAAATCTTTGTATCAACCAAGCCAGTTTGGGTGCTGGTCTATGATGCTAAATGCAAGATCTTTGTAATATTTATTTACTCTTATTGCAAAACATAGTTTGCACCAGTTATATATCTCAATTGCATTTTCCTTAATTATATAAGGAAAATATATAAGGGTTTTTTATAACTTTTAATTATACATTAAACTTTACATAGATATAAGGGGGTTTTATCTCAAACTTCTTTATTAAACTTTACATTTGTACTCTTTTGAAACATTCTACTAATATATAACTTTTAATTATACATTAATTAAAGATGTTAACAGATCATATTATATAATTACTACTTAATTTATATTCCGTGCATCGCACGGGTGAAAATCTAGTTACATCATAATCAAATCATAATCAAAAGATCTTTTCACTCGTCCGATTAGATGCACAGTTATTAATTTATTATATAATAGTTGATGTTAGTAACTACAACTAAATTAAATGTGATAGCTATTGGATAGATAAATGGTGCAGATGAATAGACATTCTTTTCGTTACCTGAAAAAAAAAACGGTTCATATTTTTGGGCCCAAACTTGTTACGGGTTCAATGAGGTCATACATAGATATTCAAAGACCAAATATAATGGTCATATATTCTTTCTAATGTGATTTTCCTAGATTATTCACTTACACTACACACAATGCTTACATTGTCATGGACGCAAATGCTTATTTTACATCATATCATACAAAAACAAATTTAATACACATGCTAAACTAGGTGTACTCCATTTTTAGTAATTTCATTTATTTTATCATTATTGTAGGCTATGAAACTTTGTCAAAGGTAGAGATGAAAAGGCAATTGTGGAGTGATGAGAACTTGTAGGGGAGTCACCCTTGCGACACTTAGTCCAATAGCTTCAGACATGTCAATGAGGTCACTTGAAGGTCTTCTCACTTCAAATCCCTGAATAATGTTAGCCAATCCTAATTGCACACTTTCGAGCGCAAAAGAAATCGCATGACATATTCTCCTTCCACTTCCAAAGGGAAGTAGTTCAAAGTGTTTGCCTCTCACATCAATTTCCTTGTGTTGATTTGTCAAGAATCTCTCTGGTTTGAATGTATCGGGAACCGTCCAATAGCTTGGGTCACGATGGATCTTTGAAGCATTTATCAATAAACGTGTGCCCTTGTAGACACAGTAGTTGTTTATCGTGCAATCTTGTTGAGCCTCATGGGGTACTAAGAGGGGTCGTGCTGGATACAAACGTAATGTTTCTTTGACCACATTTTGAAGATAAGTCAAATTGTTTATGTCAGAGTCATTGACTAGCCTTTCCTTTCCAACATGCATGTCCAGCTCATCTCGGATCTTTTGCAACACATTCTCATTATTCAAGATCAAAGACAAAGCCCATGTCAATGAAGTTAAAGTTGTATCGCTACCTGCTCCCAATAATGTCTATCACGAAACTTAAAGATGAGTCATTATATGGTCTAACTCAACTCAAAAAGGAAAGTGAGATTTGCTCCCAAATATGATTTGATAACTGTGTCAGCATCAAATCCATTTGCAATTTCTATGTTGCAATCAAAGTGGGTAATCATTGCATCCATGAAGTCTTCTTCCTCCTTTGATTTACCAGCCTTTTCCCTCCTGTGTGCTTGAAGCAGGCCTTCCATGAGATTGTCCATCTCTTTCGCAGCCTCCTTTATGGCCTTCTCATATCCTCCGATGTCCATCCATCTCAGCCACGGCAGGTAATCACCCACCACCGACGCACCCAAAAGGCTAAAAAATCTGTCCACCGTCGCCGCCGCCCGGCTCCACTCTTCCTCGTGCAGCTTCCCAAAGAGTACCTGGAACATCGTTCCGATGACGAATTTCCAGTACCACTCGCTCATGTCGAGCGTGACGGCGACCTCACCGGACTTCCCTTTCTTGCCGGCCGCCAGCCAGCTCCGGTGGATTTCTTGGGCTGAAGTTTTCATCACGGCGCGTGGACAGCAGCTCGAGTACGACGACCTTGCGGACTTCCCGCCAAAGCGGGCCGGCCGGGGCGAGCGCGAAAGCCGCGTAGTTGGAGCTGAAGTGCTCGCCCGCAATGGACTCGGGCCGGCCCGCGAGAGCGGCGTCATTGACGGTGAAGCATTCTTTGGCGATCTGGGAGTCGCTCACGACCACGACTTCACGCGCGCCGAGCCTCAGACGGAATATCGGGCCGTATTTGTCGGCCATGTCGGAGAGGATGTGGTGAGTGGGCCGTTTGTTGGCGGCGAAGAGGTGGAAATGGCCGATTATGGGCCATGCGAAGCCCGCTTCGGGCACTTTTCGGCCCACATATTTGTTTCGCCGGGAAGTTTTCTGGATAAAGGTGAAGAGAAGAAAAGCGGTAGCGAAGGCCGCCGGTAGGAGGATGAGCAGAGGAGGAGGGTTCTCCATGGTTTAATTTTAGTTAATCCGTTCACCTGCAATGTCAAGCCAGACTTTATTCTCGAATTTCTATTAGTAGGTCCATACTTTCGTACTTGGAATTTTGTTTCCAACACGCGTTGCTTTTTTTGGGAAATTGTTAGGTATGGAAGATTAAAAACGGGAATAAAGTTTTTTTGGATTGAAATTTGTTGGTCTGGTCTGATCTAGTCTGATTTGATCTAGTTTGTTTTAAACTGGTTTGATCTGATAAATGTCTGGTCTCTGTGTATTTTATAATTACAAAAGTGTGGTCTTATTTGGTTTGGTTTGATCTGGTCTGATCTGGTCTGGTCTCGGACTAAAAATAATCCAAAAGAAAGCATCATAACTATCTTTCAATATTAATTATAAATATTTCATCCTCCATTGGATTTTGACAATTTTTGTTTTCATTTGTTCTAAAAACTTTGTCATTTTCTATCTTTTTCAAAGAATGATTTTGTGACTATTCATTTCTCTCTTCTCTGCATAAACCTCAATCATATACTCACTCCGTCCCGCTATTAACTTCCTACTTTCCTTTTTGGGCCGTCCCAAAATAATCTTCTCATTTCCATAAATGGAAAGTTATCCTACATCAAAACAGTGCCAAACAGGGTCTAAACAGTGCCAAACAGTGTCTAAACAGTGTCAAACAGTGTCTAAACAGTAAAGTCAAATTTATTTCCTAAATATGTGTGTAGGTCAAAATAGGAACTTAATAGAGGGACGGAGAGAGTAATTTTTATTTTTCTAATTTCACACTCAACGGAAGCATTCTCGAAACCGTGCAGGATCGCGGAAGCATTACCAAAAGGCTCCGGGTGTAGATAGGGTTTAATCTGAAGGGGACACGCAAATACATAGGCTCATTCCCTTCTATATGAATGATCTTTTCTATTTCACAGGTGATCTTGGTCGGAGAATTGCCAGATTGGGAAAAGACAATCGGGGTAAGAGTTGATCAATCATATGCTTTGCCATGCTTTCTCATTGGCGATCGTCGACAATCAGCACCCACAAGGAGGGAAAAGCTTGAAAGGAGATCTCCATATCTAGTAGAGGGAGAAAATAAGAAAGAATAAAGATAAAAAGATAAAGGAATATAAGAAAGATAGAAGATAAAATAACATAAGGACATAGAAAGATAAAAAAAGATAAAAGATAGGAAAAGAGATCAAGTAAGCTCTTCTACTACTTCCAATCCGCCACTTAAGCCGTTGTACTAAAAAAGTATCATATATGTACGTCTACTTTTAAAATACAATCAACCAATCCATATCAGGTTATTTTTTTGAATTAGATTAGGATTATTGGTAATCTTACAAAAATTCATAAGAATTTTAATAAATAATCTAATAATAATATAAAATATAATATAAACGTAAAAATAGAAAAAAAAAAATTAAAAACATTAAAATAATAAAATAAAAAATATTAAAACTGAAAAAATAAAGTGAAAGTAAAAAATGGAAAATAAAAAATTTAAAAACCTTTTAAATAGATGTAGAATATACAAATATTTTTAAAAACTAAAAAAATATTGAGTTTGGTTTAAATAGATGTAGAGTATACAAATATTTTTAAAAACTAAAAAAATTTCTTCAAATTTTAATACTCCCTCCGTCCCATTTTATTTGTCCTACTTTCCTTTATGGGTGGTCCCAAAATAAGTGTCTCGTTTCCCTTTTGGAAAGAAATTTATGGTCTACAATATTTCACTTTATTATACTCAAATCACAACCACAACTTTTACTTTTTCAACAACTTCAGTAATATATTGTGCCAACTCAAAGTAGGACACATAAAATGAGACAGGGGTAGTATTATTTTAGAGTTTTTAAATATTAAAAACCTGCTATTACAGGCCAAAAACTAATTAAATGGTCAAATTGATCAATTTTGGAAAGTAAGCCGTACATATATGATACTTATTTTGTGACACCGCACCCAGATGTGCTGGAAATTAAAATTCAATATGTATTTGAATTCCCTAACCAATAATTGCGTGTAAAACAATGACAGGTTTAATTAATAAATGATTAATTAAATTATTTATCGGGTCCATAATATTGAGAATGAGCTACCAAATAATTAGTTGGGTCATCACGGTAATTACAGAAGCCCAATAAAATGCCAACTAAAGTTTGGGAAAATGTTTGGACAACCCAAGTGTTATTTTGACCCAAGTTGCCAAAAATAGCAAGAATAATTGGAAGAACTTCATACACCCATTTCGGAATTTCCTACACACTTTGTAGAGTCTAAATAAGTCAAGTTTAGACAACTTGAGAGAGTTGGTGCGGATGGATGATGAAGGAAGCCTCCTAGGGACAAAGCCTACACAACATGATCCCATACTCAAATTATTTTGAGTATTGATTGAGAGAAGATGCCTCATCCCTTCACATTCATTTCATTCAGCCATATCAAGAGAAGGAGCTCCAGGAAGGTCTTCTCTCACTGAGGCCATAGTTGAAGGAAGCAAGAAGAGAGGAAAGTCCAAGAAGAAAAGTTAGGAGAAGAGGTAAGAACACACCCATATTCTTCTGACTAGTATTATGTTGTATGATTTTTAAGAAATCATATGGTTGATCAAACTTGAAGTTCTACCCGTTTAAAAGTGTAGAATATTGATATAAAGTGGTGGTATTCAACTTAGAAGAGTCGTGGAATCGATAGAAGTTGAAATCGCCGGAAATCGCCATTGTTGGGGACTGTTTTTTGAGCTGCAGGCCCATAAGCCGCCCACCTTTTGCAAAATCCGTCCGGCTTTTGTCTGCTGTCCAGAATTTCCACTTTCAATTGGCCTAGAACGAGGATTGATCGAGGGGATTAGCAAAGGCAACTAGCTGAGCACATCATAAGGTGAGGATCACTAACTATATTGTTTATAGCTAGTGGGTTAATTCATGAGATTACCTAATTCATAAAAGCATAATTTTAGTTAATTATTATGCCTAATAAAGTGTCAATTGATCATATTGTTGTATATGAAGAATTGATGCATGATTGATTGAACTTTGAGTAATTGGAGCATGATTACTTGATATATTTGAAAAGTTGTTCTAGTTGATTTAGTGATGAACTAATAAAAATGATTTATTAATCACTATTTAATTGTATGAGGTTATGGTTAGTAAAGTCAATATAGAATGAAATGAGAACGAGTCATGGCATGGCCGCCATGTTCGTTTATAAGGGGAAAGACATCTTGAACTAAGAATACTTCGGGTGGTACCAAGTGACTAGCCCGAGGTTATTGTATGAGCATTAATAACTTAATTCTAAGTTTAGGATTGTGATGCTTCGTGACTAGGGTATTCATTTGGGATAGCCTTAGATGATTTAATTGATATATTAATTCTAGGATTGGATTGTTGATGTAATTATCCGGATGGTCTTTAGGATACCTGTAATTAATTGTTTGGTTGGAAGCAGGGGTCATGGCTATGCTTTAGTCTAAGGATAGATGCCTGACTACATGGACTTTCTATTGGATAGATGAGGGACATGGGTCGGCTAAGTCTAAGGATCGTGTCGGACGGCATGGGACCATAATAGAATAGATGTAAGGACCATGGCCTTGCTCGGCTCTAGAGAGCGTGTTGGATAGCATGGGCTTACGGTGTGATTACGTATAAGGGTGAAATCAGAATTGGAGACCTAACGAGGCTCCAACGGCAGTAACACATAAGATAGGACCCGAATGGGCCTTACCTTCCCACGGGAACAGGCTATGCATCAAGGGGTAGGATGTTGGACTCCGACCGAGTGCCTTGTGGGGACTTGGGTGGCGATGGCAGGTCCTGTATGATCGATGTAACCTTTGGGTTGAATTGTATGAATTAATGTAATGAATTATCGCAGTACGATAAGAATGGTATTGGTAAATACAAATGGGTCAATAGATTATCGTGTGGCGATGCAAAGGGTTTGTGATAAGTACAAATGGGCCTATGGGCCGACTATTTGACTTTATATAATTATGTAATGTTTGAAAGGGGTAACTATGAGTTATTTCTTAGAAATATGATATCACCTTATGTTAAGGGTCTTAAGGATTGAAACATTAATTATATGCAGTATAGTTGTCATTGCACTTTTCAAATGCTTCAAAGTACGAACCTCCCCTTCACGGGGGAGGCCACCTCACAGTTTTCAGGTAGAAGCTAGAGCTTGCTTCCTGTACCCGTGACTTCGGGTGTTCTTGAAGAGAAGACGTGGTTCATGCTTCCTCCGTTCTATTTTCAAAACAATTACAATAATGCTCATGGATAATATTTTCTAATAAACTATTTGAGGGCTTGTATGCCTAAGTTTGCCAAGTGTGGCTTTAACACATGTAATATTGTTTCCGTTGCTTTAATGAATATTTTACATTATGTTTGTTTATGGATGTACTATGTGTGAATGAATGATATTCCAGATGCCTTGTATAGTATGGATGTGTTAGACTGCGGTTCGTTGACTATTCGTACTATACGGCGGGTTGTTGACGTGTCCGGGTAGGTCCGGGGCGTGACATATTTTAGTACAAGGACTTAAGTTACGGATTGCAGAGAGTAGAAGGGCTTATTTGAGAAAAAATTGAGAAAAATGAGAATATATATATATATATATACATATATATATATATATAATTAGTGTAATAATTTGTTGTAGTTTATTTATGTAATATTTCATACTCTTAATTCAACTTATCAGTTTTTCTAGCGGAAAATCTATATAGTTTTTGCATCAAATTATATTCTTCCTCAAAATCTGTAGTGTAAGGTAATTTTGAACACTAAAAAATGTAATGCTACATCTGTCACTGCTCCTAGTCCACCCTCCTCCGTCGATTGAACGCCTCATCGAGTCGCCGTTCGCAGCCGCCCGCAGATCTGGGTGAGTCTCTAAATTTCTCTCGGTCTCTCACTCTCTGATTTCTCTCCTAATCTCCTTCTCGTCATCGATGGATTCTCTTTAGTCTTAGTCGCTACAATACTACCCAGAGTATGAGAGTAAATGACTAGAATACTAGACATGTCACGTGTAGATGTCTAAATAAGGTCATACGGATTTTAACTTTTTAGTATTTGAATGCCAAATGCCTAAATAGTAAATACCAAATACAAGTGTGGTAGTGTGATTACAGTGAAATAGTGTCTGCTAAAGGAGTAAAGGTGTAAAGTTGAATATTTAATATGCTGAATGTATGAAAAATAGGTATAATTTAAAAATTATAGGGTTAATATTGCTATATTGGTGAAACAAATTGGTATTGTATGGATTAGATTATACAATGTATGATATAGGCGTGAAATAATTAATTTGATGGTATTGGTATTACTAAATTATTTATTTTCTTCGACTTGTCATTT